TAAGGAAACAGGATCTGTGTTAAAGGTTAGTTTAGGTTAGTTTGTCCTATGAGGCGAGGGATGCTGACTTTTGGAGACTTCAGCTAAAAGCACAGGTAATAGTGCCGGCTCATCACTGGGTCAAACATTCCCCTCAGTTCTTTACTTGACCTTCACTGACATGGCTATGCTATGGCTCATTCACATTTCATCTTTCCCCCCACCCCCTTCGATATAGACATATACACATGCACAGGGGTCGTTTTGTAGAAAAAGAGCTAGGGGAACTCATTAGCATAACTCATTAGCATATGCCACACACCCTGACATCAGGAACCCGGCGGTGGACCTGCACAGCCGGCGGGAGTGCGAGGAAGCCCCGCCAAGGCCCTCCCTGGTCCCAGGCAGGCAGGGGTGGGGAGAGGCGGGGAGGAAGCAACTTACCCTCCCTCTTCTCCTGCCTCCTCCTGGCTGAATGAGGGCTGGAAGCAGGGCGGCCGGAAGCAGGGGGCGGGGCTTCATCGAGTTCCCTGCCCCCCGCACCTCACCCGGGGGAACTGCGATCCCCCGCGATCCCCCCCAAAATGACCTCTGCACATGCATCTGTCCTGATGTTGGAGCAACCCTCATTAAAGGGGCAACGCTTTGCGAGGGAATGAAATCTTATTTATTTATTTAGGGAATGTCTGGGCCATCTCTTGAGAGAGCCGCTCAAGCCCGCCAGTGAGCAGAAACAGTATCACAAAAACAGTGACAGTAATGAACATTATTAACAGCATGAAAAGCAATCCACTCGAAACAAGCCAAGGGCATAAAAACAGTGTAAAGGAGTGAGGAGCAACCTAAAACCAGGGGTCATTTCCTGCAGGAGCGCACAGGAGCAGAGCTCCAGCATTAAAGAGCCCAGGGGACGGGCACTTGCAACAAGCCCCACCCCCTGCTCCCAGAAGCCCTCAGTCAGAGCAAGAAGCAGCCAGGTAAGCTGCAGAGCTCCTCCCCCCCGGGCCCCCCAGTCCAAAACAGTCCAGTGGCACCTTTAAGACCAAGTTTTATTCAGGTACAAGCTCTCCCTCCTCTGCGAGGACAGATCTGCACGTGTCTCCCCCCATAGCTAGCAATCCAAAACAGTCCAGTGGAGCCTGAGCAGTGGGTGTTGCCTTCTGACACACTTCCGGTGATGTCAGGGGGTGTGGCATATGCTAATATGTTATGCTAATGAGCTCCTGCACCTCTTTTTCTATGAAATGACCCCTGCCTAAAACATATGACCGAAACAACTTTCAGGGTAGAAGCAGGCTATGAAACCCCTTTTAAAAAAGATTTCAAACCCTTAATAAAGGAGGTGGGAAGCGCGTGTTTTGGCCTGGCATGTAAATGACAGGCAGATACTAGGTGAGCCTCGATTGGGAGGGCATCGGGTTGCCAGCTCCAGGATGGGAAATTCCAGGAGATTTAGGGGCAGTGTCTGGTATGACAGAGTCTGGGGTGGGGAAGGAACTCAGTACAATCACAGAATCGCAGAGGTGGAAGGGACCATAAAGGTAAAAATTCCCTTGCTCGAAAGCCAGTCGAGTCTGACTCAAGGGTTGCGGTGCTCATCTCCGTTTCAAAGCCAAAGAGCCAGCGCTGTCCAAAGATGTTTTCGTGGTCATGTGGCCGGCATGACTAAACACCAAGGTGCACGGAACTCTGTTCCCTTCCCACTGAAGTGGTATTTCTCGCTTTCGAACTGCTAGGTTGGCAGGAGCTGGAACTAGAGATGGGAGCTCACTCCGTCATGCGGCACCCGGGTCTCGAACTGCTGAACTACTGACCTTCCACAGCCTGCAGTTCAGCATCTTAACCACTTGAGCCACTGCAGCTCATACAGGCCATCTATTCCAACCCCTTGCTCAATGCAGGATTAGAGATGTAATGCCATAGAGTCCACCAATGCTCCCTTTCAGCTCTGGAGTCTTGGGAGCAAAAATTCTGCTTTTTGAGGTACTGACTTTAAAGTTGTGAGCAAGTGATTTGGCTACTGCATACCTCAGTTTGCTCTGGAGCCCTCCTTCCAGAGCTGAGACAAAAATGTGTGAGCCGGAGGAGAAAAAACTGTGAGCTAGCTCACACTAACTCAGCTTAGAGGGAACACTGGAGTCTACCATCTGAAGCTGCCATTGTCTCCAGGGAAACTGATCTCGCCCATCTGGACTAATTCTGGGAAGACTGCAGGCCCCACGTGGAGGTCAGCACTTCATCCAAAGGCAAGGTGCCCAAACTGAAAATGCCGTCTCACCTCTGAAGGTGAGAGAACAGAGGACTGGACTTGAGAGGTAGATCTTAGCTGGAAGGCCAGACAGCACAGCAGGAGGCAGTCTTTCGAGTTTCCCAGTCTCAAGCCACTGAGGGCCTTAAATGTAAGAACCAGCACTTTTAATTGTGCCTGGAAACAGAAGGGAGCCAGGGCAGACTTTCCGGCACTGTGGTGGTGGTGGAGCTCCCGTATCCAGCCTCCCAACACCAGTCTGGCTGTCACATTTTGGAGTTTCTGGACAGTTTTCAAAAGTAACTCAGGAAAAACACAAAAAAGAAGCTGTCCTACGCAAATCCCGGGGAAGAACGGTGGTCTCATAAGCACTCGAGACCCCAAAACCCTCCCTCAATGCCCACAATGGGGCTGGAGGAATCCGGAAGAGAAGGGATTTGGGGAATGGACTGGCACGGACCACGTTCAAATCCTGAATAAGGGTAGGAGGGCCCTGTTTGAAAGAGCGAGACAGGTGGCGGGTCCCAGCCTTACCCCTGAGATGTGCAGACGCCAGGAATGACGGCGTTGGCCCCGTCGTACAGACAGGAAGTGGGAATTCCCTTACACCCCCAGCTCCAGGATAGAAGCACTGGGTATACAGGAAGGTGGGACTAAAGAGGGGGAAGCACCACGAGATAGGAGATCACGGCGATGGACAGGTGGAATAGCCTATAGGTTTATTAATCACGAAAAGAGATATAAAAGAGAGGAAGCTGAAGAGTGCCAGAGAGGAAATCAGAACCGATCTCCCAGACAACACAGAGAGAGGAGGCAAAGACGGTCAGTCTGAGGAGGTCGTCTGGGGTGTGACGCAACCCCCAGCACTTCCAAATCTGAGGCGCTCATTTACTCTATAGAACGTCAACACGGCTACTGGGTTTTCAGAACCTGGGGACGACCTGGAGCGTGACAGAAGCATTGCCAGCCATAGCCAAAGGGACAAATTGAGGGGTGGGGCATGACACTAGCACACATCACTTCCTGTGCGAAACTGGAAGTGATGTCATGCCGTCAGGGCAATGATCTAGGGCAATTCATCCAAAACTCTTTAAGACAAAGCATACAGTGTCACCCTGCTGTCATGACATCATTCTGGTTTTGAACCGGAAGTGATCTCACGAGCTGGCACAGGGTTGCCAGCTCTGGGTGGGGAAATACCTGAAGATTTTGGGGGCAGAGCATGGGGAGGGCGGGGTTTGGGGCATAATGCCATAGAGTCCAACTTCCAAAGTAGCCATTCTCTCCAGGTAAACTGATTTATGTCACCTGGAGAGCCAGTTTGGTGTAGTGGTTAAGTCTGCGGACTCTAATCTGGGAGAACCAGGTTTGATTCCCCACTCCTCCACTTGCACCTGCTGATGTGACCTTGGGTCAGTCGCAAGCTCTGGCACAGCTGTCCTTGAAAAAGAGCAGTTTGTGTCAGAGTTCTCTCAGCCCCACCCACCTCACAGGGTGTCTGTTGTGGGGAGGGGAAGGGAAAGGAGTTTGTAAGCCGCTCTGAGACCCCTCTGGGTAGTGAAGGGTGAGGTATAAATCCAATCTCTTCTTCTTCTTCTTCTTCTTCTTCTTCTTCTTCTTCTTCTTCTTCTTCTTCTTCTTCTTCTTCTTCTTCTTCTTCTTCTTCTTCAGAGCAAGAGATCTCCAGCCACCACCTGGAGGTTGGCAACCCTAAGGGGAGGGACCTCAGCAGGGTATTTCAAGGGTCCGCCTTTCAAAGCAGCTGTTTTCTCCCAGGGAACTGACCTCTGTCATCTGGAGATCAGTTGTCATAGTGGGAGATCTCCAGGCCTCACCTGGAAGTTACAAAAACTGAGGGTCACAGTATTAGGAAGATATGCAAAAGTATATATCATTGTGTGTAATAGATAGCAGCATATTTTCTAGGGTCCCATCAGTTACCTGAGAGAACTTGAGGGATGTGCTATCCTATTATTATTATTATTATTATTATTATTATTATTATTATTATTACTATTACTATTACATTCGGTTTCTATACCGCTCAGACCCGAAGGTCTCAGAGCGGTTTACAGATATGTTGCAAGTGCAAGTTAATTCCCTAGACTATGGCCACATATGTTACAGGGGGTGGGGCTACCTACCGGCACCCAAGTGGTGGGTTAGCTGTTCCATGGCTCTCTTCCTCTTCCTAGATAGGTTATTATGTCTGCCACAAGGGTTCTGATGGGACCCGAGGAAATATCCTGCTATCTTAAGAGTTTTTGTGCTCACAAAGAGGAATTATTGTGCCTTATGTCCTTTATATACATCACAGTCCTTGAGAAAGATTGTACTCAAGATGGGTAAATTACTAGAGTCCCATGAGACTAGTGATTGCGATACTGACAAGTGATGTCTGAATATTTGTACAGAATGTAAACCCGCACTTTGATGTTTTGTTTGGGTGAAACTTATTTTTGATAATATTTGATACCAATATTTATATAACAGTATAGAAAAATAAAAAATAAAAAGAACAAAATTGATTTACCTTGAACATACATCTGTTATGCACAGTGCTATATACTTTTGCATATCTCACCGGGAAGTTGGCAACCTTAGGCATGACAACACCACATCCCCTGATTTCCCCCATCTCTCCCCACCTCCGGCTTTTGAAATGCACATGAAGAATGGGAGTAATTGCCGGGATGCCCCCTTTCATTAAGGCCCTATTGGCTGTCCTTTGGCTATTGCACTTTCAACCTCTCTCCTCCTCTCTTCCTTCCAGTTGCGTGCAAAGTGGGAACACCAGGAGAAACAGCCACCAGCGCAAGATCAACCAGCAGGAGGAGAGTTGTCAGAATCTGACGGACTTCACTCCGGCCCGAGTGCCCAGTAACCTGGACATATTCACGGCCTACAACGAAACGCTGCAGTGCTCCCATGAGTGTGTGCGGACGCCCGTGCCAGTCTATACCGAGGAGACGATACTTCCTCCAGGGGATTATAAGACATCCTTCAATGGGAATAGGTAAGGGACTAGAAGCTTGGTCTCTCCGGCCGAATCCTTTTTGTGCTGATCGGGTTTTGTCGCTGACACGGAGAATGAGCTCTGTTTATACAGCTGTCTCCCCCCCCCCCCCCGGGAACATTTTCTGCAGCTTCCCCCAATCATTGTGTTTGCTTGTACAAGAGTGTGCAAAATCCAAGGAGCAGGGGAAGGCGTGTGTACTATCTGAAGTTTACTGATTGCTACCAATGTTCCCTCTAAGCTGAGTGAGTGTGAGCCAGCTCACAGTTTTTTAGCCTCCGGCTCACACATTTTTGTCTCGGCTCAGGAAGGAGGGCTCCGGAACACACTAATTTATGCAGTAGCCAAATCACCTGCTCACAACTTTAACGCCAGTAGCTCACCAAGTAGAATTTTTGCTCACAGGACTCTACAGCTTAGAGGGAACATTGCTACCCCATATCTTTAGTGCCATGGCAAGGCTGAAAGTCACCGTGGCCATCTCTGGTGACATCCTGTCATTGTGTAGATACACAGGCGTTACGGTTCTCAGCATGCATGATCATCTTGTTGTATGTGTGTTTGTGGGTTATGTGGAAAGAGTCAAGGGATCTTCCCCGTCCCTCCCCCTCCCTGGGTTTGCCACTGTTTGGCGAATGCTTGGGCAATTGGGGTGGCCAACCTCCAGGTAGGTTCTTGAGATCTCCCAGAATTACAACTGAACTCCAGTCCCCATGGAAAGAATGCTTGCTTTGGAGGGTAGTCTCGATGACATTGTACCCTGCTGCGGTCCCTTCCCTCCAAAACCCCGCCCTTCCCAGGCTCCACCCCCAAATCTCCAGAAATTTGCTAACCTGGAATTGGCAACCCCAAGAAAATGTCCTTCTAGCCGCTCCACTGCAACAGAATTTCCAAAAGACAAGGCAGGTCTTCAGACTAGGGTTGCCATTCCCCCGGTAGGGCCAGGGGATCCCCCTGATTTCAGGGGCCCCAATCCACCGCTGTCCAGCTGGCTGGTGGGGGAAGCCCCAGTCTGAAGAAGTCCCCTCCCAGTGCTGCCAGCACCGGCATGATGACATCACCCAGAAGTGATGTCGTTGCATTTCCGACATTGAGGGTGATGCTCTAGGTTTTGGGCAAAACTCTATGGTTCTGAGGCCCAAAAAACCATAGAGTTTTGCCCAAAACCTAGAGTTTCACCCCCAGCATCGGAAATGCAATGATGTCACTTCCGGGCTTTGTGTGCGCACCAGAAGAACACAAGGAATGATTGGGAGTCCCTCTGCCAGCAGCCAAGTAGGACCTACTTCAAACAGAAGTAGGAGCCGTTGTGTGTGCGATGAGAGAAATCCAGACCACCGTTGAGGGATCCCAGGAGTGATCCAGCAAGAAGAAGACAGGCCTCCTCCCCTCCCCTCCCCTCCCCTCCCATCTCATGTAACTCAGACGTCTGGCAAACATGAGGTGTCTGGCTTTCTATGTGATGGTAGAGCAGTGGTAATGATGGGCAACCACCACGTGGGTCACACCCATTTCTTCCTGCAAAACTTGCCACGGCATGAGGAGGAACTATCACCTTGCTTAAATCTGCATGGAGGATTCACCAATGACCTCTTTCTTTACTTGCTGAAGAGCTCTGGGGCCACCTGATTACCTCCCACTCTACCCGTCTACATCTCACTCTAGAAGTTTGGTCCAGCGAGTCTAACTAAGCCCGGTTTTGCAATTTGTTCAGTGCGAGAAGGGAGTGTATGTAACAAACCAAACAAAACCAACAAATCCTGAGTCCTACCTGGCTTGTAATTGCATCATACGCTGTGTAGGGAGGGCCGGAGAGACACCTGTGTGAGATTTTGAGCCACGGAGCTGTCTATCTGTCATCTGTATGGCCAACGTGTCCTATGAACAGGCTGCTTCTTGATCAAGTTGCTTTTGTTCACCATGAAATATCAGTCTGCTTCTGAAGGGCCAATTTGCATGCGGCTCTGAGGTTTTTGTCAGTGTTGTACGTTTGTGTGTGTGTGTTTAAATCATGGTCCCCCAAGTTCAGGACAGCTGGTACTCCAGGGGGCTACCAGATCCTCTCTGGAACTCCCCCCTTACCCAGATTTCGGGTCCCTCGGTTCAGCCTTATGGTGGAGATCCCATGGGTTCTTTTCTACTAAGCACTACTGATTGGTCATGCCAAGAACCAGTCAGGAAGCCTTCCTTCTTTCGGTTTACTAGCTTCCCCACGTCTGTCCCTGAGCACCCTCCATTCTTTTAGGTCCCGTTTACATGCTGACTTTGCAGCATGGTTTCCACAGCTCTGATGGTAACACTATAAGGTTGCCAACTTCCAGGTGGAGCCTGGGGATCAGCAAAGGACGGCTGATCTCCAGACAACACAGGTCAGTTCCCCTGGAGACAATGACTGCTATGGAGGGGCCCTGCTGAGGCCCTTCCCCTCCCCAACCCCTGCCCTCCCCGGGGTCCACCCTGAAATCTCCAGGAATTTCCCGGCCTGGAGCTGGCAACCCTAGGTGACAATCAGATCTCATTGATAAAGTCTGACGTTCTAAGTAACGTGGATTCCCTGATTCCTACATTGCCATGCAAGATTAGCCAACACGATCCAAAACGTGACATTACTGATAGGGAAGTCACAACCGTGCCACAAATGTAGTGAGCATTTTGGCACGAGACTGCCTGTCCCCAGGTAGGGTGAGAGTTAAGAGTCATGACTTATTGCTAGTTAAGTTTGCATGCTTTGGGACTGCCGAGACCATTTTTGGCCCTGGGTTCGAGGCGGCTCTATTCTGCAAAATTTGGGAAGACCTGGACAATTCTCACTGATGAGCAGTGCAGCGATTTTTCAACCAGACATGCCTGCATGCAAGGCAAAACAAACAGAACAAGCAAAAAAATCATGATCCAAACCAAACCTAGTATCCCAACTTTTATTTTTGGCCCAAACTTTGGAACAAATCTGCCGGAGGGGAAAAAAGGACACTGATTCTGCAGGATCCCCTCTCCGCCTCCAAAGCACACACACAAAATGACCGGGTTGGTAAACCATTCAAAAACTACAGTCTCTGGAAATCTGTCAGGGGTTGCTATTGGCTGCTGGCTAGGTGCCATGCTGGACGGGCTTCCTGGCAGGCAGAGAATTGGCCAGGATTTTCAAACCATTTCATTGAATGTCCGTACTTGTGACCTTTGACCATGAGCCCCAGCCAACCAATGTCGGGGTACCAAGTGGGGGTGGCGATTTGAAAGACACGTGTTCAGTGTGTGTCCCCGTCCTTTCCGTGAACCATTGGCGTTGCTGTTTTTCCATGTTTGCTCCTCTCTCCGTATTGTTCCTTGGCAGGTGCGCATTGGCTGGACAGGGTTCATTGCTGATTTCTTTTAATTATGATTTTTGTCTTAAGGTGATGCTTTGCTGGGGATTATTGGTCTCCGCACAGTCCTCCCTGATTAGATCCCCAACAGAATTAACCTCTTTGGCTGAGGAAACCGCAGGGTACAGCCTGCTGGCTAGGGTTGCCATCCTCCAGGTGAGGCCTGGCGATCTCCCAGGATTTCAGTTGATCTCCAGACTACAGAGATCAGTTCCCCTGGAGAAAATGGTAGCTTTGGAGGGTGGATTCTATGGCCTTACACTCCAACGGGGTCCCTCCAGTCCCTAAACCCCACCTTTCCCTGGCTCCACACCCAAAATCTCCAGATATTTTCCCATTCAGAGCTGACAACTTGATGTTTGGCCGCAAATCCATTGACACTACAGTTCCCAGCTCTGGGTTTGGAAATATCTGGAGATTTGAGGGTGGAGACTAGAGCTGCCGGGTCTTACCTGGCTGCTGGTGGGGGTGCTTGTGCATTTTCCAGGCACGTCATGCAGGTGACGTGGGTAGCATTTTTGGGGGAAAGCTCTATGGTTACCATAGAGTTTTAACACAAATGCTAGAGTGCCCCTACACAATGTGCCCAGTGTGATGACATCATCTCTGGGTGACATCTGGGCACGTCGGGTGCGCCAGGGCTCTTCGGGGCAGGGCTCCTCTTGCTGGCCAGCTGACCATTGGTAGATTGGGGCCCCTGAAAGCACGGGGACCCCCGCCCCCATTGGGGGGATCGCAACCCTAGTGGAGACTGGGAGAGTGGGGTTGAAGAAGGAGAGGGACATTGGTAGGGGAAAATACCATACAGTCTACCTTTCAAAGCAGCAGTTTTTCTCCAGGAGAAGTGGAATAAATGTTTTAAACAAACGAACAAACAAATAAGCAATCTATGTAGTCTGGGGATCAGCTGTAATTCCAGATCTCCCCACCGCCCACCTCGAGGTGGGAAACCCAAACTGGCACCCTGGAGTGTCTCTCATGCATTCTATGCCGGGGTCTCCAGACCCAACAAGAGGAAAAGTTGGAGCCAATGAGAAATAAAATCCCTCCCTCCCTCCCTCCCTCCCTCC